GCTCTGGCAGTAGAGAAAGCTGCGGGGTCGCGGCAGTTTTAGAGAAACCGGGGCTGTGAAACGTGCAAAAAGTACCTAACAGTGTGATGCTGACTGAATCCCTTCGCTTGTCAGTCTGCCGCTGGCCACTGTCCCTTTCTGAACCCGAGTTTGAGAATTTCTGTGTTCAGATAAAGTGATTTTAATTAATTTCTCTTCCCCCAAGTTCTGCATTTTGTGCATTACTTTCCTTTCGCTGTTCATCTGTTACTGTAAAGATTTTACCTAGCTTTTCTCTGCCTTAACATGGAAAAGGACAAGGTAATGATTATTAAATAGATGGACAAAATGGGTAAAGTAGAAAGCATGTGTTTCGCTTATATTCTCTTCTTATATTGTTCCGTAACCGTAAAAAACGTACGGTATTTTCATGCAGAAATGTAACTTTCAGTTTTATTCTAATTTTTTCATACAAAGACAGTTTTTTTAAGTTAGTGGAGGAGTCCTCTAAGGAGTTCTCTGATGCAGGGCTTTTTATTTAGAACTGTGTAAGAGTTCTAAGTAAGACTTTGGGCTAGGCAGGCTGCTTTTGTTGGTCTGGCAAAATTTGTTGCTATTTCAGATGACTTAGTTCCAAAGGAGAGGAAAAATAACCGGGGCTAGGGAAATGAAAAATGCTGAGACCTGGTTAAAGAGATGTGACCTACAATCCTAGTCTGGATTCACTAAAACCGAAGAAGGAACTGAGAAGGAGGAAAAAAAACCAAACAAAAAAACAAAAACACCAAAAACAAAAACACCAAAAAACCCAACCAAAACAACAAAAAGAGCAAGTAGACTATCTTCTATCTTCAGGTGCAGACAGATCTCTGCATCAGACATTCCTCTGATTGTTTAGGATTAGTATTATGGTCCTTGTATTACCTACAGGACTAGAGATGAGGCCTCCCCTCTACAAACACAAAGAGAAAGAGAAGGCCTTGTCGCAAAAAAAACTGAGAGTGTAATCACCAGGGAGGAGAGGGGGGCTGGTGACAGGGATATGTGAAGTAACTTGTCACACAGTAAGTGGCAGAGACAAGGAATAGCACTCCTTTGAAAAGGGCAAACTATACTTGATACTTCAAGTGATTTCCAGACTTAGATCTTTCAAGTTCCCAGAGGAAATAATAGGGCTGTGGAAACCCCAAGTTTATCCTCCTAACTGACCTTAAATTCAACAAAGCATACAGACAATATAAAGAATGCCGGATCACATGGAAACTGTTGGTTTCGGGACTTACTCGCTCAGCTGGAGATACATGAGCCCTGATCTTTAACCTCAGAGAAGACATCTGGGACATCAAAGCATTCCACTTTTCTTGAGCTGGTCATAACTTAATTCAGGCAACAAGTATGGTCTCTCTTGAATCACCAAAGCTTATTCATCCCTGGAAACTTTAATCTTTTTAAGTTTTCATCGCTTTCTAGAAGGGAATACTGAAAAACTGAGGTCTGAAGGGCTATCTAATCGTCTAATGACTCAGCTAAAGCTGGCAGATTCAGTGAGAGGAGGAGGAGATTGCTGTGGTATGGGGGACAGCTTCAGCAAAAGGAGCAGACAGGCAGGGACATTAAGTAAGACAAAACTAGACTGAAGTATCTCCCCTTCCTTTGTTTTGGAAACATTGGCCAAAAATAACAGATGCTCATGAAGGTTATATGTAGCTTCTTATCAACAGCCTTGCTCTGGAAGTTCTCGCAAATTTTCATGCTGCAAAACCACTCTATCGAAATAGACATGAGGCTACAGGAAGGTGTCTTACTGTCATTTGTATCCTGTTTACAGATCTTGTAGTTCTGGCTTCTCTTTACCTATGCTTGATTTTTCTTTACTGACCAAAAAACCCAAAACCTAGATGCCTTATAAAGAATCAAAGAAAAAAGCGCAGTCACCGAAAATAAGCCTAAGGAAGCATAAATGCCACCAGCAAGAGACTCTGCTACTCAGTTAAGAAAAGATGGTGTAGGTGGGACTTAGAGGCAACAGGATAAGAGCCATGCAAGTGTTCAGGAGCAGAAGGGGAGTGCTACATATGTAGGTCATAGATATAACAAAGTACCACATTGCTGGAATTACAAGTTCCATAGCAATTTAAGAAACAGACTGTCAATGTGTCCTTAAAAAGATGGCATAAAAAGGAGAATAAATATATCTGTGCGTTTTTTTCTCCCATATTTATGTGTTAGCATGGTTCTGAGTGCAAACAAACATGCAGCCTGAGAACAGATCTGCTATAAGATGTTCATAAAGTGTTTTAACTACTTGCCTGGTGAGTAACCTGTGATATGCTCTTTGAGAGTCCATGATTAACTACTAAGGGAATCCACAAAAGAGAATATAGAAAAGCTAGCCTGTTACTAAACTTAATGTAAGAGAGACTCAGGAGAGTCTGCAGTTCCAAGAAAGGATGAAAACCAATCCATTTGTAGAAGTAATAATTTTTCTTTTCTCAGCTACTTATTAAAAGACAATTCCTCAGTTCCTCTTGATAGTTTTAGGTTAGCTTGAGAAGAAATTCATCCTTCTCGCCTTTAAAAATAATACTGCTTCAGAAGAAAAAATTCCAGACAGAGCATTAAACAGCTAGTATAAATTTTCCAATTATTATCTTTGGAAAATTTGAAATTAGATATATACATGGATGCAACTTAGCAATTTTAAAATATACAAAAGTTTGTGTCTCTGTGACATTATGATTAAATACTTGAAAAAATTAAATGATGAAACAGTCATAAAAGCTTGAAGTTGCATATACTGCATGTGCAGTGTGAAATTCATTTTGCCTCCCTCTCCCCAGTCCATGCAGCCCATGCTGAAAAAAATCGACTTATGTACAGTGAAATGCTTTTGGATTTATAATACTGTAAAGATTTCTAGTTAATCTTGTTAATCAATTAAAGCAACTGCTGCAGATTAATTGTGTAAGTTCAAAACAGCAGTGGTATATTAGCATACTACAGCTAGGCAGAAAGCTGTTGTAGTTGAATTTTATTATGTGGGACATCTGTTTTCTTAAATGTTTGCAAACTTGTCTTGAATGTAATTTCAACTCTTAGAAATCTTTTGCAGTTGAAGTTTCACTGCGCTGGTGTGAGTCACGCTTGGGTTCATTAGTGTTGTTTAAACATCCCTTACCTTTCTGCAACAGGAAGAGTAGACAGATTCACATTTTATTTAAAATATGAGTGAATGTATTTGCTCAGAGTTTTCAGGAAAAATCCACCTGCTAGAATGAATCCTAATTACTCGTGAAATAATTATATTAACAGCAATTTAGATCACTAGTCCTGTCACTGTTTCTATCAGGATGCTGCTGGCTTCCATTTACACAAGGTTCCTTTTAATACCAGAGGGGCCTTTATGAGTTACTTGTACACCTAAGAGAATCTCATACTTCATTATAACAAGGGATTGTGTGGTTCTTCTTATAGGAACTGTCGGTATGATGTTTTGGGTGGGAAAAGATGTGTAGCATTAAGACGCTTTTATTTCCATAGCACAGATGTTACCCCACTGTTGAAGTGCGTGCTAAGACCTTCAATGGGTCAACACATCTGCCTGTACCCTTGGACAATGCTTTTCTTAAAGCCTTGCTTTTTGAACTGAGACTCACAGATGACCATATTTTCATAAAGCATTGAGATACTTGCACCTGAATCAATCATTAATCACTATATTCAGTTTGCACTGAAGGAAGGGATGTCTGGCCCGTGCTTGCTTTTCAGAAGAGTGGTCTGATACATACATGTGTTCCACTAATTGAGGAGACCTTGGAGCCACAGCCACCCCTCCTCACTGTTAGTGGGCTCTCACAAGGACTAGCTCTTTTGTTAAGCATTGTGGACTACATCTCTCCAAGTTGGAAAAATGAAGCTGAGATGAGTGTGAAAATAGGCCAGCTTCAGATTTGGTTATACAGGCCTGTCCGCGCTTGGCACCGCCGTAAACACAAACATGTAGCTTAAACAGCTCATTTGATAACATTCAGGAAATACCTACAGATAAGAATCAACCGTCTTGGAGATCCAACACATATAAAGGCAAACCTCAGGTGAATGTCTGTATCACTGAAAAAGTCAAGTGTATGCAGTATGACAAAACAGATGTGGACATGTGGCAAGTGTATGGAACTGTAAATTGCAAGGTGAGAGCATATTATGTGCAAGTCTGACCAAAGAATTTTTCATGCAGGCACACTGTACTTATGCCATTTTACTTGGGATGTGAATAGTGAATTTCTAATACTGTAGTATTTCAAAGTGTAATGAAATATTACTTATTAGACTGATGCGTTAGTGGGTTTTATTTTGATCTTTACTGATTTTTTTTCCTGCATGCTTCATGCATTTTTTCAGTAACTATTTATGGGACTTAAATTTCCAGCGTTCCAAGTTTTCATTGTTTAATACTAAAAATCGGGGAATACTGACTAAATCAATAACAATTATGAAATACATTAAAATTTGTGTTTTCTATAATTGATGTATTTAACATTCATTCCACATTATGCTTAGAAAGCACGCTATGTTATCACAGTATTTATAGCTGTCAGTGTTTTAAGAGGAGAAAGACCTAAGAAAGTGGATCAGGACAATTTAATTATTTGCAAGAGGTGGGATATTCATCTCTGAAGGAAGCCAGCGTAAGTACTGCACTTCCAAAGGCTGCGCTATTTCCCACCAGCCATGCTTGTAGGGATTATGAGGGTGTACAGCTTCCTGCTCTCGAAGGGACAAGTTTCTCGGTCATCTTGCAGAGGGGATGGCCTTACATAAGAAGAAAGCCCTGGTAATTGTGTGCTGCTGAGCTGGCACACGGAGGGATGAGACAATGGATGTGCTGCACATGGTTGCTGTGAGAAAGCTGACATGGGACCACAGTGGCCATTTATAGCATGCTTGAATCCATTAAGCGGATGTTGTAAAAGTAATGGAATTAATTAGACTATCACCAAGTGTGTTTATGTAACATTCGTCATGTTGTAGCTATACATTAGTCCTTGGCTTGCTTATCTGCCGTTTTCTTGCTACATAGTACTTGTCAATTAAGAGACAATTAGCTAAGACTGCATCACTAGCCCTACCACATTGGAAAAGCTACTGAAATAGGAAAGAGACTTGGTTTCAAAAGTATTTGTCAGTACTAATGTTTGAAGCCAGCTGAAAATTTTTAATGTGATTTTTATTATTTTTTCTTCCAATACTTGTATTTGATTTTGAACATTTAATTCTGACTTGAGGAAGTTACTCTAAAATAATTTCTTGATTTCATTTTTCCAAGTGTGACATAGAGGGATCTGCACCAAACATAACCCTCAGTTTGAATATCCCGACTAATGGTCCTCCACTCCAAGATATCATGGTCCATCATTGTGTGACTTCCATTGACCCTGCCATGCTGCTGTCCAGTAGTGCCGAACCTCTGGGTGATTCTGTGTTAACAGACCTTACGAATTTCCTTTCATTCCTCCTTCAGATTCCTTCAATTTGTGTAACTACACATTCCAGGTAATAACATTCCTGACCCTCGTTATTTTTGAGTCTTCAAGCAGGAATAAAAATACTTCTGTTGTTGAATGTGTCTGAATGAGTTACAGTCCGATATAGGCAGGTAATGTGTTTTTTATATAATAAACTCCTTAGAAGGCACTTCAGGACTTGAGTCATCTGAATCACATTCAGAAGGTGCCAGTACCTTTCACTGCTTGGCATGGCTGCTCTTACTTTAAATGAACCATTTAGATGCCTGAATTAGACAAAATACATCCAGGCTGAGATACTTCAAGTGCATATACCACAAGTCTATGTATCGCAAGTAGCCTGAAGAGTTTGGCACAGTCAGCAATTAATACATGTTTGTTTGTTTGTTTGTTTGTTTTTAAATATTGCAGCAGTTAAAACAGTATATAACTGATCTTATGATGATGATGTTAACTTACCTTGAGAATTAATACAGTTTTTTCCCAGGTTCCTGTTCCACCAATTTTGGGATGTTACCAACTTGTTGAAGAGGGATCACAGTTAAAAATAACAGTTAATTTGAAGCTTCATGAAAGCATAAAGAATTCTTTTGAGTACTGTAACGCTCATATACCTTTTTTCAACAGGTAAGAATAAAGAAATCCTAAATAAATTTCTTCCATTTCTCTGTGATATTCCTGAAATGAACCTGTCAGGAGTCAATATAACAGATCATGCTGTTATATTGAAGTACTACCAGTGGATACTGGCCTTACAATGTTGTGAAACCCCCTTGGAATTCTTGTAATCTCCAGAAAACAGAATTATACCAGAATATTTGGTAATATTCTGAGTACTTCTGTTGCACATCTTGTTCTCCTATGATATTTTCTCACGGGAAACACTGCCACAATCCCAGGTGGATTAAGTCTCAAGATCACTTCCAACCCAGGGCTACCTGTTTAAGGCTGCTAATCCTAGCTGCAGATCAGCTTATGAAAAGTATAGTTATTTAAAATTAAAACTTTAGTTTTCATTTAAGCCTTTCTGACAATTGCCATGACTACGCTATCACATAATTATCATGAAAATTTAAAGATGGAATGATACCAAGTTCTTGATGCTGATCATAGTGTTGGTAAAACACTATCACTGAACTAAAGACAGTAAAATATGATCAGCTTTTCTGTGATTACTAGGTTAAGACCATGGTGATTTCTTCCTGCTCTGTAATTTTATTTTATTTTATTTTATTTTTCATAAATTAGCCATGTGCTCAGGTATGATTTGTTTCTGTGCTCATGAATAATGTCTTTCAGCATTGTGTTGCGTTCTTTAACAAAATGGTGTTAGCAAATACTAAGCAATACTAGTTCCAATGGTTTTATTTATCCTGTTACTGTAGGGGCCCAATCGCTCAGTTAGAGTACAAAGTTAGTTATGGCCAACTGGATTTGTCCCAAGAGAAGAGCCTACTGTTTGGAGTCATCGGTAAGCAGAATACCCATGTTACTTCCTGCCCTAGTCAGTTTGTACAGTGCAAGCAGAGCTGTGTAATTTCTTACAGATACTGTTCTTGGCTTTAGGACAGAAGTTCCCTAAATCTTTGAAAGTTTCTCTGACTGGAACCATGTCCTTTGGCACTGCAGGCAAAGAGCACCCAACTGATTTGTTTGCACTGGGAACACTGCTTACGTAAAAGTAAGTTGCTGGCTCTATGAGAAGAGGACTTAGTAGTCATTTATTTTATTATCTTAAATTGGCTATGAAGATACCCTGATTTAAAATCAGACATAATTGTTAGCCTCTTTGTTTTCAGCATGGAGTTTTATGTTTTCTTGCTTACAGGATTTGATGTCCTGTCATTTTGTAGTATTCTTGCACACCAAGAGCATGTAACAGAGATTACTGGTATTTGCACAGCAAGCATGACAATATGTATCTGATCATGTTTTCCCTCTCTTTCTATAGCTGTCTTTTAGAATCCCAGACTTTACACTTGATGTTATGTAGACCAGCATCCTACTCAGATCTCTGCACCAGGAAAACCCAGAATTACTGCATGTGAGTTGCTAAAAATGTCATTTATTTAACTGAAACTACATATTGAAGTTATGAAACTGGATGTCAGTGACTAAAATTATGTAGCTGAAGTTGGACAAAGCTCTTTCCTGTTTGCTTGGGACATCTCAGAAATTTTGTTCTCTGCTTTGTACTTTTTTTGTGTGTGTGCGATGCTTAAAGCGTCCCTGGAATAAGGACTGGCATCTCGCTTGAAAAAAGCCCTTATTGCTCAGTTACAAAGTCATTCTGTCCCTTGGGCTCTTTCTCTTTCACCTTGTAATGTTTTAGTATGCTCTGTATAATGGCAAAACTTCTACTGGGGGGGCAGAGAATGCCTCTCTGCAGTCTGGCCCCTTGTGTTGGACCCTTTTGTTAGATGTGATAGATGAATTGGCAATACCCAGGTACAGAACTCAGCCTCTGCATGCAAGGTGAGACTGTTGCTGTCAGTGTCACCTCACCAGCATCCCTTGGTGAATGTGGCCTTATGTGAATCTGTGGAGCAGAAACCAAATCTACTTATTCTTGAGTTAACACATGACTGCTTCCAAGTCTGCACCAAGAATACACTAATTTGGAACACGGTAGGCACACATTAAATCTGAGCAGTACTAATGGAAGCATTTTTATTTGTAGCAGTCTATCTGTTGCAACCTTTGTCAGTCATGTTAGCAAAGTCTGTAAATGGCTTTTGAAGACTGTGGTCTACACTGCTAATTTTGTGACAGGTCACATTCAGTCCTAAATTGTAACACAAAAGAGTGTTTTCATACTGTATGGTTTATATCAAGTATGCAATTTATATTCATTGAACAAAATCCAAGCCATCCACCTGCTTTTGATTTAACCTCTGTTAGAATTTTAAGCTTACGAGTGATACATTAGTAAAGGTAATTGAAGCTGAGACTTTAAATGTCTCATTATCAGAAACGATTTTCAAATAATAGTAAGAGTCTTAACAGTTTAAAGAGGCCATTATATCTTTTCTGTAAACTAGTAAGGATGGATTAGTAGTCTCTTAACTTGGATGAAGGAATGTCTGATTGTAAGGCACCCTGTAATGGTTATTTTTCTTGCCCTTTTTTTCTAGCCTGGGAACGGATTTCTTCCAGTTACTACATCTGGAATTCCAAAGCACCAGCACCTACAGTGTACAAAACCTTACTTGACTAATTTTCTTGTGAATAATTTTTGCATTTAAAAAAAGCAGACAGCTAATGGGAGTAATATCATGATACAGTGAAAATAAATATTTTCCAGCACTTTGTATTTTTGTATTTTGTATGTTTGCTTAAAAATTTCTGTTAAGGAAAAACAGAAGAAGTCACTTGTCTTAAAAACATAAGTTAGTCTTAAATTGTTTAGTCCTGTGTAAGAGCTTAGAGAAGGCAATTTGAAATGTACTTGCCATGGCCATTTTTACTTTCCGTTCTAACATTAACTGGTACAAAATTAAGTACCTAGTAATGCAGATACAGACTGGTACAATTACGTGTGTCTTCCAGGAGGATTCCCGGTTACTTCATCGGTTTTGTAAGCCAGAGAGCTCACAGGATGTAAATGCTTTCAGGGTCTTACTCCTGTCATGAAATCACAAGAATCTGATTAGATTAACAGTACAGTTAAAAGCAAGAGTTACGTTACTTTCATGAGGTGCATACAGAATACATACAAAGTCAGTAATTTACAAGAATTTTGAGAGGGTGAGTATGGCATGAGCAGTACTTCTAAAAGAGGAGATGGTGTAGGAGTCTTTATTGCCTCTGTCAGCAGAACGCGCAAGTTTGCTTTCACATATGCTGTGAAGTGCAAAGTGTGAACCTGGTTTTTCAAATCACGGGACTGGCTCTGAGCAGACAAAACCAGCTAAGTTTGCTGGAGATTCCAAAAACATCACTGAGCTTTTTTTGCCTGGAAAGATAGGTGGAAAAGGACTTTATTTAGAGAGGCAGACCTCTAATTTTGAGGAGAGAATTAGTATCTGCAGGAACACTGGAAATGAACTTTAAGAGAGTTATCAGCAAATGAGCAAATTCTGAAAGGCTGGTGAGAAACAGAGAACCTGGAGGGCAGCACAAAAGAAGAATGCCTTCTAATAACCGAGTATGCCGGCTGTGCCTGCTGTACCTCTTGTTTAACTGTATTCTGTGTGATAAATAAGATTAGTGGTGATGTAAGGAGAAAAGTTCTAAGTTACAATTTAAAAAATACTTAGATTGAGACAGTAATGTAATTGGTTGGTTAAATGTTCTGAAGAGTGGATTAATTCATCCGAAATGTGCTGTTCAGTTCAAACTGCTGTGAAAATTTATAAAACAGCTGTGCTGCTGTGACCCATTTCACACAGGTGATGTGTCATAGAATCATAGAATGCTTAGGGTTGGAAAGGACCTTAAGATCATCTAGTTCCAACCACCCTGCCATGGGCAGAGACACCTCACCCTAGACCATGTCACCCAAGGCTCTGTCCAGCCTGGCCTTGAACACTGCCAGGGATGGAGTATTTACCACTTCTTTGGGCAACCCGTTCCAGTGCCTCACCACCCTCACTGTAAAGAACTTCCTCCTTATATCTAACCTGAACTTTCGCTGTTTAAGTTTGAACCCATTACCTCTAGTCCTATCTCTACAATCCCTGATGAAAAGTCCCTCTCCAGCATCCTTGTAGGCCTCCTTCAGATACTGGAAGGCTGCTGCGAGGTCTCCAGTGTGTCCATTTTGATTATCAGGCAACAGATGAATTAATGATTTTGCCTAGAATCGAGACCGTACCTGTTAGAGTCATCTGCATGTCTGAACACAACGTCAGTGGGGAGAGAGGGTCTCTCTGTTGGAAGGGTTTAGATCATGTTCTATACACCGGACACCCACCACACGATTTCAGTGTGTGATGTTTGCTTTCCACCCATAAGAAAGATCAGAGCTGCCTGGTCTGTACAGCAGCAGTATGGAGGAATAACTTTTCTTCTTCGCAGGTACTGAAAGATATTCCCCAGTAAATGCTGTGAGGCAATGGGACTGTCAAAATTCACAGTGTTTTAGAAGAGAAGACCCATTGTGGTTAATAACAGGGGTTCCCTCCCAAATGATGTTCATTTTTGCTTCCCTCTTGCCCATGTCTAACTCAAGGTTAGGAGAACGGCAGTACTTGGGAATGGAGGCTGCTGCTCTAGATTACTTTGCACACACCTATCAGTGCAGCTTTGGATGGAGGGAGGGGATGGAGGATGTTTCTCTTCTAGCCCTGAGCAGTTTTCTACTTCATGCAAGCCATGTGCAGTCTTGTGCAACACCTGTGAGACACCCATGCTCATGGAGAAAGTCAGACAAAGCTTTTCTCCTGACGAGATGACTATGCTTCTCCTTGGGAAGAGGAAGGGCCCATTCTCATGGAAGCTTCATAAATCTTAGTAAGCTGGTAAACTGGTAAAGTAAGCTTAGTAGTAAACTCAGTAAGCTTCATCAACTAGATGGCTAACAGCTCAGGTCTGTCACTACCAAGGTGCCTTTCAGCATGACCTGCAGAACACAAGGCATGGAGAGAAATGAGTGATGCGTGTTGAGGTTTCAGGTGTGTCCAGGGCTGGGCAGCAAATGGGGACATGGGGGAGAAAACACTGGAAGCTGGAGTTCAGGTTGTTCTAAATGACTAAACCTTTCTGTGCATCTCTGTGAGTTTTCTGGTAGTTCCTCAGATGATTTCGCTGTTTCTCTGCAGTACTCTGACCGTTATTTAACATGAAGAAAAAACGATTCAGAAACAAATCAGGAAGGTATCACTGAGAGCTCACGTGAGCTTGACAGAGATGGCATCTGACAGTAGTTCTGGTGGGCTTTAAAGATGATCAAACTCTGTCAGTGATATTCATTTAAAAATAAAAACTCTTTAAAAAATTAAGGTTTTAAAAAAAGTTTCTTTAAAACAACCGTTTCCTTAATACAACAGTTTCTTTAAAAATTCTATATGTCAAAGGGAAAAACAAGAATTCTTTTGTGGCACAGAGGGCTGTTTCTTCTACAAGACTGCTTTGTGCTTGAAGTGCTTATATTTATAATTTCATCAGAGGTATAGACTGTATGAAATCTGTTCAGATACTTTTGCACAAAGACTTTCAGAAGAGGTGACCAAAGAGTTCTCCAGACTTAGTATTGCATTTCAGAAGGCTAGAAGAAAACTAACATGCACATAATTGGAAAGAATAAACATAAGGTTGTAAATAAATATTGGGTTGTCAACCCGACATTTTCCCAAACAAAAATAATGGGTATAAATAAATTAATGCAGAACTCCATTAATAAAATGAATTTGTTTCATGTCATTCAAATTTTGGGGTAATTAAGTAATGCCAATTAGCGTGACTTTAAAGTAAATATATACTGTCAATCTTTTTGGATGAGACTGCACATTTAGTTGGCAAAGAGAATTGATGTAACAGACCTCTAAGAAATTAAAATAATGCAAAATCCATGTATAACTCACTAAACATGGTAAAAACTGGCTGACATTTCCAAAAGCAGCAGCAATGGGAACAATCATCAAACATCTTTTGGAGCCCAACTGTGTTATTTAACATGTTTTGGAAGGTGTGGAAGGAAATGAAGTTTCCAGAGAGTGCAATGGCTGAGAAGCAGCTATTACTGAAGGTGCCATAGCCCTCATTCAAAGCCCTATAGTTTGAGTATTTCAGGGGGGAAAAGAAAAATCAATGGTACAGCATAAGCAGGTACAAAGGTGTGGGTCTGAGAACAGGTGCCATCGGTACAGGGTGAGAGGAAAAGGGACCAAGGAGTGACACAAAGACCTAGTATGTGGCTTAGGTGTGCCTTGCTGGGGCCAGAAGGACCAGTGCAATCACTGAATGCACAAGGGGCAAAAATGCAGGAGTACCTGGAACTGGTGTGATTCTCACCAACCCTCACAAGTCTCCATTTCTAGAAAAATGTCCAGACCTTGAAGCTTCTGAGAACTTATGATCTCACCAAAATTTACCTTTTCCTTCACCTCTACCCTCTTGCTAATCCTGGTGTAGCCTGCCTCTCTCTCCAAAGTGTTGTGTCCAAAGGTTTGTACCAAGGTGTCACAGTGAAGAGAGGGATCTCTTCAGATGTCTTATGTGCATTCTTCCCACTCCAAATCCTGAATTGTACTAGGAGTAAGACAGGACCAGGAAGCCCACCTTTCCTTGACTGGTAGCTGTTGCTGGAGGAAAGCTTCCCAGGCCCCTGGGAACACCCTCCCACCACAGTCACCTCAACACATCTGCTGAGCTTGTTGGGAGACGGTCAGAAGTGTTACCTGTGGCCATATGTGAGACGTCCCCCAAATTCACAGGACCTGTTCATCTCTCCACAGGAGGGAATTAGTCCATCCAATACAGTTCAAAGTGGTCAAATCTGTGCTGGCTGTTACTTATCAGTACTCAGTAATTTGGTGGTTTTATAGGTTTCTGGACCCTTTTCTCCCACCAGGGTCCCAAGGTATTTGGTGACAGCTGCAAGAAGATATATGCCAGTTCTTAAAGTACTTTGGGGTAAATCCTGTTACTTCAGAAAATTTATAAGCAGCTACTTTTTCTGCATAATTCAACCCTTCCCTCCTCTGTATTTTTGGCCTGTTTTTACCACTGTTAACTACTTTGTTAAGAAGTAGGAATTGAAACAACAAAGCATTAAACATTCAAAGGCAGTTGTCCTCTATTTATTTACACTATCCTAGAAATTTGCCATGCTTTGTCGTATTTGTACAAGCCCTGCTGAGTTTTAAGTCATAATAGAGCTTGTGAGTAAGTCCATGCTCATCCTTCACTACTTTTATGGTCTCCTTCACTACCACCTTGTTCTCTTACCCTTTAGAGCATGGCAACACTTTAGAAAATACCCACCCCCCCAGGCAGTCTTGTCACTTTGACTTACTGCCCATAGGGTCCCACTTACCAGCTTCCTGAACATACTGAAATTCAGTCCTATTCTTCCTCTTTCCCATGGCTGGAGCTCTCCAGGCTTTATTTTACTGTCCCCATCTCCCAGATTGCCTTCTGCTGTCCCATCATCCATTGGCTCCTCAGCCCTCAGACTGCAATCTGAACCTGTTCCACATTGTGGTAAGAATTCACCTAATAGCATGGACAAAATACAAGGTATTACCAATAGCATCTTTTAGGGGGGAGAAAACC